TTGTAAGACTGGGTGTTCAAGCATGCGATGTTCATGTAGAAAAGCTAACCTACTCTGCACAGACTTATGTTCATGTGTTAACTGCGAAAATACATCAGGCGAATGCGACGAAGACAATTCAATAGATGATTCAGACAGCGAAAGTACTGATGGGGATTTAGACGACATTGACCAATTTTAAATGTGGAATATTATACTTATCAAATAGTCTTTAATGCGATGTATGAAATTTTATATTTTTAACTGAAATTTGTGATATTTCCCACAAAAAACATTGATAAAAGTTACCAACTATGCATAAGTTGTTGACGTCCGAGCAAAAATAAGCCTGATAGGAAACTGGAACTAGTAATATCACAGTAAATTAAATGAAGTATTAGGGAAACAATGGCGGCGATCAAGTTTCAAAGCAGCAAAAATTGTTGATGTTTGATGGCAAAATGCTCATAAACTGCAGGTTTATACGCGTGACAACAAGTAAATTCTTATTCAGCAAATGAAAATTTATAGATTTATTTAAATTAACTTAGTGCCCGACCGATGGCAACGGAATTGTTTTTCTAAGCGACTTTCGGTGGCAAAAAATACGGCCTACAACGACGAGCCCCTCTACATTCACAGATCGTCCAACCACCCACCATCAGTTTTACACCAACTACCCACATCCATCAACAACCGAATTAACACACTCTCATCTAGCAAAGACACCTTAGAAAATGCCGCACCAGTTTACAACCAAGCTCTTAAACAAAGCAACTTCACCACCCAACTCACCTTTAATCCATCAAACATCAATGTAAACACTACGTGCAACAGAAAACGTAACGTCACTTGGTTTAACCCACCATACAGCAAAAACGTAAAAACACACATCGCCCACGACTTCCTATAACTTATCGACAAACATTTCCCACCAAATACTATACTCTCCAAGATATTCAACCGACACACAATACGCGTAAGCTACAGCTGCGGCGAAAACATGAAAACTTTCATAACCAGACACAACAAGACTATCTTAAAAAGACTTAACCCAGACACAACCCAGAACAAGAACAACCCCCCAAAGAAATGTAACTGCAGACAGAAACACCTATGCCCGACAAATGGCAATTGCCTGAAACCCAACGTGATTTACAAAGCCGACGTGACAACGACTGACAACAACGAAACAAAAACTTATATAGGTGTTACTGCATGCGCTTTTAAGACACGATATCGAAACCACATTAAATCAATTACGAACTATATATACTGCAACGAGACAGAACTTTCTAAATACACGTGGACACTGAAAGAAAACAAACGTAACTACAACATTAAATGGGACTACATCAAACAACTTCCACCTCCGAACAAAAACCATAGAACCTGCCGTCTTTGCCTTGAAGAAAGGCTACTTATCCTGAAAGGACGTAAAAAGAACATTTTAAATAAACGTTCCGATATGTTTAGTGCATGCCGTCATGTAACTTAACACCTTTTAGTCGATGTATATAGTCAGCAAATAAAATATTATCTGTCAGTTGCCTGAAGATCGCCCTACGGCGTGAAACTCCGAGTAGCGACAGCAAACAATTGTCCATTTTATTTCAGTTCATTTTAGCTATTATATATATATATGTATATCCCTCTATACTTGTAATTTAATACTGTCTGATGATGTCTTGAGAATCAATTATGTTTATATATCATTTGAGGATGTTTATCTACGTAACTGAACTCTAAATATATACCATGGTTTAAATAAATTACATTTTCTAACTGTTGCTAAAGAAGTTTATTCCCAAAAACTTGTACAATCATTTAAAGGAACTAAAAAAGTTCCTTTATTTTTCAAGTCATTCGGAAACAAAATAAGCGTGGCACAGTCAAACAAGCGATCAAACAAAACACTTCTTTCGTTTAGTATAAAAAATACTATGAAAATATCTTGTTGAAATGGACAAAAAATATGGTTACTCGTACAAAACATAATCAAAAATTTGGACACCCTCGGTGTAATCATATTTTTTGTCCATTTTAACAACATATTTTCATAGTCTTTTATACTAAACGAAGGAAGTGTTTTGTTGCACAAAAAGCTTGCACACCCCTTGAATTCACCTCATTTTAAAATTTTTGTTGCGACAAATTTTAAAAGCAAAACAAATGCTATGTTGAATATAATTTTTTAAGATTCCAAAATGGAAAAATGTCTTGAATATGTACCATGGAAAAGTTTTAATTGGTATGGTAGGATAACAATCATTGTCTTTAAAATAATTGGCAACATCGTTTCTGGCTTTTCAATAACTTTATATGGTGATACATTGTTTCATTGTTCAAATGACAAAGTTTCAATTTCCAAGAACGTTGAATCAAGTTGTATTTCAGTATTTCAGTTTTTTTTTGGTGCGTTTGAATTTTGGCATTGTTTTACTTTGGAGTATTGTCTATGGGTACTACGTGAAGCGTCGAGTCGAACATTTTGATCACTCCAGTCTAACAAAAAGAAGTGATGACGAAAATGAACCTATATATACGGGGAATGGTGAAGACACTCATCGTTTTACCACGTTTTACATTTGGGTCGTTTATTTGGTTGTTCGCCTTATTATTTTGTCTGTATGTGGTGGAATACTTTTCTCAGCTCAATTTCCCATCGACTACTCCTGTTCGTGGCATCCAACAATGAAAGAAACATTCTTGTTAGATCACACCATCTCTACCTCATACAATGTCACATTATTTCACTGTGAAAATACAAACGGTGATAAAAGTGAAACCGTAAATGAAATTATGGCATCTATTGACGTCATTGTAATGATGCTGACAACGTTAGAGCTGTGTTGGTTGACGTATTTGGCTATCGATGACAAGTTTTTTACAACAGATCGAGAATTTTGTTTGGTGTACTTGCTAACGAAAACGTGAAAGATTTCGAAAACTATCGCTAATCGGAGATAGCAATTGACAACAAATTTAATTATTCTTATTAGCAGATAGAAATTAGTTGCTACGCAGCAGGGACTGATCTAGGACTTTTGAAGCGTAATTCAAGAAACGCCAGAAGCTTTGACCATCTTGGAGGTTCTGGGAACATACTTTCCACGAAAATTTTGATTTTCAACGTCAATATGGAGTAAAGCTTTAAAAATAAAAAATTAGCAGAGTTTTTAGTCAACAAAATCATGATGTTCGTAGTGGACAATTGTATTTAGTAGTATACAGAGCGTCGTTTCTGGCGCAATCTCCCAGACCGGGGGTTCTCATCAGAAAGACGAAAAGGTGTGAGGTGCGCCAGAAATGACGAGAAGGTGAGAGGTTCGCCAGAAATGGCGCTTTCTCAACTCGAAGTGCGCACACAAATCTTAGCGCCCCAGCCCTAGCACGCATAATTACAGCGAATGTCAAACCCAGGACAACGGCAGGAGCCCAAGACGGCCGGCCGTCGGGGTCTATTAGTTCTGATGTGATTATTATTTAAAAGTAGCGTATAGTAGGGTACGTGGTAAGATGAGTAGTGAAACAAAAAGAGTACGTATGAAAAAAACAAGAGCAAAAAGAAAGAAGAGAAAGAGAGAGAAAATTGAATATTGTAATAATAAGACAAAGAGAAGAACATCTTAAATTACAAACCAGGCTACTAATACAGACAGGTAAGATACAATTAGAAGAATAATATTTATATAGTATATAGAATCGAGATGGACACTGTTAGAGAAATTCTGGTACTATATAAACAGGGTGTTATAAGTGGAAGAGCTCTAAACTCATTCCTTGAAGCTTTTCAACCACTAGCATCTACATCAAAAAAGCGTACTAATACAGCTCCACCTGAACCTCCTTCGGCACCCCCTTTGCCAAACGTGAAGTGTTCTTATTCAGTTCTAGATAATGAAGGAAAGCCTTCGCACTCGTCTAGCGCTTCGCGTAGCAAATCTTCATCAAAAACCCGTTGAAGATTCGGGTATTATACTTTCTATAGTGAGTGTGATAATTACTTTAGCAGTTCACATCTGTTGAACAACTAATATTGCATCAGCAGGTAAGTCTACATCTATAAAATCGCTATAGCTTCATTCAGAGTTAATATCACCAATACGATGTGTTTTTGTTTTACTTAAGACAAGTAATTTGCTAGGAGTTTGAAGTACTCGTAGCGCCCCTGCACTTGTAAAACATCTTCCACTTAATCATATTCGGTAGAATCCAGCGGTTTCGATGGTGATTGTAGAAGAATCTTCTTCACCTTTTTCACACATCATGACATTGGTCCAATCTGAACCTCTTTTTCCAGTGACTGAAGTACCAACTTGAGTGTGCACATCTACTGGAATTTCTAGTCATTTTTTATGTTTTTCACGTCTTCTATGATGTTTTACACGACGGGCGTGGTGGTTTTTGCCGGATGTAGCAAAGCTTCGAGAGACTCACGCGTAGGTTTATCTACGTCTGAATAGTTCCAAGAAGATATGACTATTTTTTCAGCATTAGAACTATATTCTAGTTGGAATTTTTCAAAATTTTTCTCTCCATTTTGTCGTAAGTATATTTCTACTGCTCGGCGAAAGAGATCGTTTGTTGATTCAAATTCATGAACCGAAGTCTCAGATGCGTTAGACATTGTAATTCTATATATATATATTATAGAAATTTTTGTTAGTCTATTAAGAATATTCTAAATAATGTACTTGATATTTTCGCGTCCAGTTAACAGGTATTGTATTAACGCACGCTTTAAGATTATTATTGTTGTTATGTACGAAACAAACATAGGGTCCCCAATTTTTTTGAAATACGGTGGATCTAATATTAAACCACTCTTTTTGAGATCGTTTAAACCAAATATTTAATTATGCTATTTTATTATTTTCGAATATTTTTCCAGTAGGAAACGTAACTAGAGTTACATTTACTCCGCTCATACCTGGGGGGTAGAATCCAGTAGGAGAGTTTAAAACAGGTTGATCTTCTTGGTCTCCTTTAAGCCCATCAGCTCCTGGTAGTCCTTGAGATCATTGACGTCCTTTAGGCCCTTGAGGCCCTGTGGCTCCAGCATCTCTTTTAGGCCCTTGAGGCCCTGTGGCTCCAGTATCTCTTTTAGGCCCTTGAGGTCCTGTGGCTCCAATATATCCTTTAGGCCCCTGATGACCTCTAGGACCTGTTAGACCTATAATGCCTTCTTGCCCTTGAGGTCCCTGAGGCCCTGTGGCTCTAGCATCTCCTTTAGGCCCTTGAGCTCCTGTGGCCCCGGGCGCACCATCGCTTCCATCGGTCCCATCAGTTCCGTCATCTCCTCTAGGACCCTCATCACCTTTCTCTCCTTTTGGTCCTCTAAGACTCGTATCACCTTTCACTCTTTTTCTCCCTTTGGTCCTCTACGACCCGTATCTCCTTGAGCCCCCGCAGCTCCTGGGCTACTTTTATCTCCCTTAGCTCCTCTTGGGCCTCTAGGCCTTGGTGGTCCTGGTTTTCCAGATCCATAACCATCATCAGTTACACCGATTACCAAAGTTACCATTAGTTTTATGCGACGTTTATATACCAATTATATATAATAGAAAAAATTTTTATTTACTGGATTTATGTATGACTGCGAGAGAAATCTATGACGAGCCTCTAGCCAGAACCGCGATTTTTTTGAAAGCTTGAGCTTCACCTTCACGGCGTGTGCTTTCAGCAGCGGCAACAGCTTTTTCTTTTTCACGCTCCAAGTTCTTACGCATCGGAGCGTCGAATTCATCTTAGATCTCGCGTTTACGCTCGTTAAAAAGCCGCATTTGATCTAGAACCTGTTTAAACTCTTCATGTAAGCCTCGGCTGACAATGAGAGCACGTGACGTAATATCACCAACAGTCATCAGAATCGTCGCAGCAGCTTGGGCTATGCGGTCGTGCTTTTTAGCCTTTTTCTCGAACTTTTTACGAAAAACAAGCCCAACACCTGCGATCACCCCGCCAGCGACAGCAAGAGCTTCAAGAGCGGCCTCAGCTGGGGCACCCATATCAGGTAGAGTGAGAGCAATACCTCCAGTTCCTGTCACGACTGTAAAGACACACGATGCAGCAGATAAGGGTCGAGTATCGAAATAATGCGCTTGTATTTCTTACACAGCTTATAATAAAGGTCACGCTCTTGGCGGAGCTCTGCCTCAATGTTTGAAATGCGAACAAGGCGAAAGTTGCTCGTTTCGATTGATCAACGGGGTGAAAAAACGTCTTCTACACTATGTATTCATATTAACGTTTTAAATCCGGATATATCCGTGGTACTGGCCTATGAACGTCTACTGGCTCCACTGGAGGTGCGCTTGCAGTTGCCATTTTATAGCTGTACTATATATAGATGCAGAAAAATTGGTCTGTTTGTCTGATGTGATGTGATATGGCTCTCATAACTTTCGACCCACCGACCGCTAAGAAATCAAAGCGCCACCATTGGATGATGCCCGAAAGCCATTATCTGATCGTAGGCCCTACTAATTCCGGTAAAACAAACCTTTTAATAAACATGATTATGCGTTGGCTTGATTGCCCTAAATTAACTATTTACACAAGTCGCGACCAGGAAAAATATCAGATTCTATCAGAGCTCTACGAAAGCATCTGCCTGGAAGAATGTGTTGAATTAAGAGAGCCTGATGATGTAATCCCAGTAGAGGAGTTGGACGATAATCCCGAGACAGTAGTCTTTGACGATATTCGGCTGGATTCAAAAAGCTTAAACCCAATCAAAGGGTATTTCTCAGCAAGTCGACATAAGAATGTCACAGCCATATACTTAGCGCAAAGCTACGTATTGTGCTTATGAGAGGTCTTGACCGGGGTGACGTGAGAGAAATCGCAGCTGACCACGCTGATGGTATTACAAAAGAGCAGTTAGCGGCGGCTTACCATGAAGCCACTAAAAAAAAGTACGACTACTTTATAATCGATCGTACTGCAGAGGAGGTTCCTATTTGCTATCGGAAGCGTTTTGACGGAGTTCTGGTAGCCCCGAAGCGGTAATCCATTCTTTGAAGGCATCATCAAACTTATTGTTGTTGGCTCTTTTTTTTATATTTTGGAAGATGAGGAGTAACCGCCTGCATTATAGCTTCGACGGTTTCAGCAGGCCAACCCGAGGCGTCGTATTTTTGACAAATCGGAACAAACTTTGCTATGAAAGAAGAGTATTTTAAAGGCACTTCAGTAGACCAATACATATCAGCCGCCATATGGATTACATGGCTGAATTGAATTACGTTGAATGGAATTTTATGCTTAGAGCAGATTTTATGCATATACGTTTTTACTTTATAAAAGTGATAGTCACGTGACTTCTCGCAATGTTCTATAGACGATTTTTCTGTATCACGTGACCCTTCATCCGATTCCTCTGTATTAATAACATGCGCTGGCAGGGTAAAACGTGGTTTATTATCTTGAGATTGTGGATCAATAGATGCTAGCAACGACTGTATTTCAAGTAGATTATAATTTTTCATTACACCATATGGGTCGTCCATTTTTTTGTCCTATTTTATAGTAAGATATCTATCTTCATCTATCTTGAGATTGAAGTTCAAGTATGTTCAGGTCAGTTGCATCTATGAAGAGCGCGAAAAATTAGTCTAAGACTTTTTAAAAAACCGCGTGGAACTTAAGCGGCGCCAATCGATTTCAAAGTGTCTCGACAGCACGAAGGAGAATTCTTTGAAAGTGTGTCTAAACCAATTGTTAATGCTGAAAAATCTGCAGCAGAAGCTATTCACAAAAAACAAGACGAAGAAATTGAAGGGTTGCAAGAAGTCACTCAAGTGGTTGAGAACACTCAACAGCAGCTTGCCCAATGGCTAGATGATGTAGTTCTGTTAACAAAAGACAAACCATCTTGGAAGGTTATAGAGAATTCAAATTTGCTTGATCGGTTGGAGGCTGGTGAGTATATAAACGACGTAGATTTTGAAAATCTTGGAAAATCTATCGGCCCGTCTACAAGAAAAACCACTTCTCCAGCTAACCGAGAGCTAGGTAAAAAAAAAAACTCGAACGTTACAATGCTCTAAAAGCAAAAAGAAGTCACCCCAAACAACTCTTTAAAAAAACAGGAACTGGAGTGCACTATTATAATAACCCATCAGAGCTTATCGACCGCCTTCACCTTTCCTGCAAGTCTGTAGAGGCTGGTAATGACTCTCGTGAGTTGAAAAACGATATTGAAGCGATCCTAACAAAACTGCTAGACGAAAGTGCAATATCCAAAAGTTATTACCGAAAAATTTGAAATAAATACATGCGTTAAAATTTCTCCTTATATATTACACAGAGCTATTACTTAGTGCTATCAATATAACCATAATGGCTGGAGTATTAGAAGACGAAATTAGCGTTGATATACACCCAACAAGAGCCATTGCGGCGAACGGTGAAAAAGAGAATAACTTTCAAATTTTCTTTAAGCTACCTATACCATTAGAGGCTAACAAAAAATATCAAGTGGCTCTTACTGAAGCAAGTTTGTGGAATTCGTGGGAAATGTCACTACTAAAAACAATCATTTTGAGTTTGAGATTAGAAATGGAAACTATGGTGATACTGATGGTACACAGAGAGGAGAGCTTAAACAGACTCCAATTCAACGGCAAAAAATCAAAATACCCCCCAGGCGCTTACATCATTCCCGTCATCAATCAAGCTATTGAAGATGCTATGGAAGCATTGGGGGTAAGGTTCGCACATGAAGATGAGATTGCAAGACGTGATCCACCCTTTGTGCTTTCAGTAAATATTTCCAAATCTAAATCTGAGATTACTATTGAAGGGGACCTTGTAGTTTCCTTTGACATAGATAACAGCTTAGGCCCTATTCTTGGGTTTGCTGTGGGTGGAGGTGATATTACTAGAGGAAAGACTTTAAGTCACAATCGAATTAACATTACAGATGTACAGAATATCCATATTCACTGCTCGCTTGTTAATTGAAGTATAGTAAACGGGAATTCTAGAGATGTTATTAAATTGTTTACTCCAAACCGAGAACCAGAACGTTTGTTAGAAATAAGTCCTAGTCCACCGACCTACTTACCAGTCATAAAAACTAGCCTTATTAATCAAGTGAGAATGGAAATCACTGATCAGTCAGGAAATGAGATTAATTTAAAAAATGAGCAAGTAACTTACACTGTAAACATCCGTCCAAAAATGTGATTATATATACACTCTCATAAAAGGATTCCGATTCAGAAGCTGTTACCATAATGGCTTATTTTTCTATATATAAGTATAATATACTAGGCGAAATGATAGTTCCTATGATTAGACGTAGTATAGTTCGTCGAAAAATTGTCGGGGGGTCATGAATTGGAAACCTCGTGGGCCTTGCTAGTAAGGCAAAGGGTGCGCTATTTAGTACGGGGAAGTCTGCAGCAGCATCCTTAGAATCTCGCGTAGGTACGTTTCCTCCAAAAATCAAGAATGTGGCTGTGGCGGCTGGTAAAAAAGCAATTCATAATACGGCTACAGCAGCCAAAGAGGCTGTTATATTGACTGCAAAAGAGCAGTTCTCGCCTGAAAACGTAAACAGTTTTGTTGCCGATCTCGCCCGCGGAGACGTTAAAGGAGTGACAAGAAAAGCTAAATCACGTGCATCTGCAGTGGCTCGTGCTAGGGCTTAAGCTGGTATTAATAGCGCAAAAACGCGCGCAAAAAGTGCTCGCACTGCTTTAACGAAAGAAGCTAGATCTAAACTTAATGAGCTAGTTGGAACTACTAAAGCTACAAAAGCTCTAGTATCAAGCGCTGAAAGCTTGCTAAGCAGCAGCTGACTTCTCGAGACTTAGGTATTCTGAGCAACCTCGTTTCAGGTAGCGGTATGACTTATGCCTAAATATCATATCAGAAATAATAATTAAATTACATTGGTCTGATGATCGGCAGACACAAATTTTTTGTAAAATATGTCTACTGTACGAAGTACAAACTATCATAAAAATGGCTACGGACATGATATTCCCATCCTTTCGACTCTTTGACGAGCCCATCGTTGATCGCTCTGTTGAGCGAAGGAGTTCTTCATCGCGATCCAAATTTCGATAATAAGAATATCAATATCGACACTGAGAACGTTGTCCAGTCAAAAGGCTTCACAGAGCCGTTCTTGATGTTCGAGGTCGCGTGGTAAAGAACAATGGCACCAATTATGATGCCGCCGACAATGTCGCTCTGGCAAATGGTGGCTGGAGGCTGTTCGAGACAGTCCAGATCCAGGTTAACAACAAGACTGTTGAAGAAATAAGTCACTATGCTTCAACTGTCAACACGATCATGCTGCTTGTAACTGATTCGGATGATTCGTCCAGGAGCGCCGCCACGAGTGATTTCTGGACGCGACACTAGAGCTACCGGTGGGGCTGTTTCTAATAAGTATGAAAACAGAACTAACGCTCTGTTGCTTCCTGCTGCTAATGTAATTAACGGTGTCGCTTTGAATGGCGGCAACTTCCGGGCTAAGTTTAACTTAAACCTGAACACAACAGAGAA